ATTTTTTTTTTTTTTTTTTTTTTTCTCTTCCTTTCGTACGTAACGTCGAAATCGCAAATTGTGTGCAAAGAATAGTAATCGTAAAAAGAAAATATAATGAGATTTCAATGAGAACATACGTGTATATATAATATAATGCAATATTTCGAATATACGAAAGTGAATCGCGAGCGAAGAACGAGGAAGACAATTTCATGTGAATTAAACAGGAATCGCATTGTGAAAAATAATATTACGATTAACGATAAAGGAATTTTTTCTTTTTTGCGAAAAACGAAGCTTCGTAGTCTTCATTTTTTTTTTTCTTTTTTTTTACTCTATTTACACGTTTCTTACTTATCGTATCGTATCTGTTATTCCCTCCTTTATCCCTTAAGGAAATTGATATCTTTCAACGCGACTTGTTTCGTCTGTATCACATATCGTTTTTAATCGTAAAGTGATTCCAGTGACACTCTAGTCACCGATCCTGACTCCAGCAAATATCCCTCTCAGTGTCTCTCTCTGGAATCTTCCCTATGCGCGCTATGTCTACGCGATTCTTGACCGCTTGGTGTCACGGGTCGACGTTTCGATCGTTTGAATTTCGCTATATCCTCCCCGAACACGTCACCTGTTCGAAGAGCCGATATCAAGTCGTCGAATTCGCCTTTATTGTCGTTCTGCCCATTGCTGTTGGCCTCGTTCTTCTTGCTCAACGAGATGCTGTTCAATATCCCTTCTCGAGAATTCTTTCTCTCCATCGTTCTTTTTCGAAGCTAAAATTGATTCGGGCAATTAGCAACACGAAATACGAATAATTGTATAATCGTTGTACGCTTCGCTTACTTCTTGCTCCTGCTTTGCCCTACGCTCTTCCTCCTCTATCTTCTTCCTCATATTCTCCACGTCTTGCCTGGCCTCGGCTAACGCTTGCAGAAAGTTCTCGAATATCCCGAAGAACTCGTCCGGTTGCACGCCTGCCGAATCCTCGCCGAACAATCTTACTGCTCGATCGAACTGTTGAGAGTGGATAAATTTCGCGTGAGCGTACATATAAGAAATCCAACGATCGAAATTTCGAAGGTATCGAAACTTACTCTGGTCTTCATGTCTTGGAACAGGTCCTCAGCTTCCGCCAGCCTACACGTAGCCTGTGCCTGGAAGTCTCTCATCGCTGGCAAGAACATGTCTCCTTGGAGTACTTGAGATTGACCACGATGGAATTCTAAGGAAAGAAAAGGTTAAGAGTTTTTTGTTCAGTTTTACAATAACAAGAACAACAACAAGAGGAGGTAAAAAAATAAATTTTACCTATTTCCCTTTGAACATCCTGAAGGCCGTTCTTCAAGTTGGCCACCTCTTTTTGCAGGTCAGCCATACTGACTCTAGCCGCGGTTCGAACGTGTGGCATGTCCTCCTCGATATCCAACACCTCTCTAAACCTGGACTCGAGGATCTGGACCAAATAGTGCAACAAAGTTGTGCCCTTGGAGCAAGAGGACTTGGTATCGACTAGACGGTTCAAGGACGCAAGGCGGAAGCCGCAAGCGTTCCCACGGGCGTTCCCGCGATTCACGTAATTCCCTAAAGCCAAGACCAGTTCGAGGAGCTTTCTGAGCCGCCTGGATCTGGCCACTTGTCGACTAGCTTCGAGGACAGCGCGCATTCTAGGCGTCAATTCCGCGATACTTGCGGCGAATTTCTTTTTGTAGTGAAGAGATCGTAGTCTTTGCTCGTAGTGCGGCACTCTGAAACGTTGAGGTATTACTTCTTGGAATAGAATCTCAGCAAATATTATTATCCCGACCACGGAACGTGGACGATATCGACAGAACGTATACGATAGCGTTATGTACCCAATTCCTTATCGATTTTCGATCAAATATTTGCTATTCGTCGACAAAAACTCTGTTATCTATGTGGAGGAGAGAAGAATCTATCGGAGGAGGAGATACGTACTTGGATATTTGGTACAGGAAACAATCAGCCCTGCTTTGAAGCTCTTTCTGATGCATGTCCAAGAGAGCAGCCTCTTCCGACGATGGAATATATTTCAACAGCTGTTCGACCATGTCTATGTGCAGAATATTCTGCTGGTCCATGGAGAGGATCGTTCTTGTGATTTCGTTGTCGGACATTTTCAATTTCGACAACAAGATGGTACAATTTTGAGCTCTCCTCGAATCGATGACCGACATTGTCTTCTTGTTCTTGCCTAAGGTTCGCAGATCCTCGATCGAACCCTCCGCGGACACTCCGTTCTTTTGATAAGCACAGAAGATTTTGTCGATCGACTCCAGATCCATGACGTTGTACAGTTTCGTGTCGTCGAGTTCCGACCATATGGTGCCCTGCAACTTCTGCTCGGGAATCTTGGACCAATTGAAGGACTTGAGAGGGTTGCTCGGTTGAGGAACATTCTTGATTATCTCCACCTGGACACGTTGGATATTATCTGGACGTTGCTCGAGCCGATATCGAAAAATCGAGATAATTGATAATTCTAATAAGAGGATAAAGATTGGTCTTACCTTCATTGGAGGGGGAGCTGCGGGCATCAGGCAAGGAGGTGGCGGAGGTGCCAAGG